AGCCCAATAGTGATTCTCAATCCATACTGATCTCAATGGTGGAGATCTTAATGGGGTCGAATATGCCCAAACTTTTTCATGAGCTATCAAAGTGGGGTTCCATTCGGTTCACCTGCATGGCCCATGCAGTTGGGGCCGAAGGTCAGGCCACTTGAGGCTTGGTAACCTCGCATTTAGCCCAGTCGATGCATTGGAAAAACGACTCTATCAAATATATTTTTTCATTAGAGAGGTGATGAAGTTTGGGATAAGCTCATTGAACAGAAGGCCAAGGAATTGATGGTTAGCCTCATGTTCGTCAAGATACCTAAAAAGTTTGGTGGTTTAGTGATCGACAGAGCTTTAGATTTTTTGAAGCTCGTCAAAGATCTTCTAGCAGTAGGCATGGGAGTTTTGAGTTGAAGCCAAGAAGGTTTGAAGGTTGGATGATTTCTAAAAAATATGATGAGTTTTTCTGGAATTTGAGGATTCAAAATAGCAAAGCTTCTAGGAGATTTCTTGAAAGGTGAAGAAGAAGTGGGAAACCCCAGGGGTATTTCTAGGTGGATGTGTGAGGAAGCTTAAGGGTTTTAAGTTTTGAAAACTAAGAGAATCTCAGGGTTAGTTCACAAAATCACTTATGTTTTTGAATTTCAAAGCACCCTTAATCATTCCATTTTGAAAAACGAGGTATTTGATCTATTTTCACGCTTTTAACAACAGGCCGAATTGTTTCGATTTTCAAGGTACGTCCATTAAGGATGAACGTTTCGACGGCCAGTTTATCTAGAGCGTGCACCGCATTGAACTGCCGAAAGTGGAAAAATGCCATAAGGCCTTGAAGCATGGTGGTGTGGTTATGGCAACCTATTCAATGAATGTTGGTGAGTGGGTGGTTGAAAAGCATTCACTTCTTCAAAACCTTCTGGTTAGGTGTCCATGGTCGAATACTTCATAAGCAAGGGTACAATGTTTGGGCTTGAAATATTGGGTCTAGGCTAAAGGTGGATGGTTTGGGTTGATTCTCAAGCCAGTAGTGATTCCTCAAGCCAGATGATATTTAGCCCATAGAAGAATTTGGCCGAGTCCTAATAGAACACTACTACAAAATTATCTATAACTGGCGGTCCAAAAACTGACAAAAAACATATATTACTGTAAGATTTTAAGCAAAATCCGACAAAAAATAGATGCAGTGGGGATATAATAAGCGACAGATTTGCCAACGTCAGGAAATGAATTTTTCGACAAAAAATACTCTAGAACCGACAGAAATTGTGTCGGATATAACTGACTGAGAATATATTAATAATCAAAAAATAAGAGCATTTAATCAACTAAAATCGACAGAAAATACTAAAATCGACAGCACTTTTGTCGGATATAATCGACAGAGAATTTATTAATAAGAATAAAAAGCATTCTTGTAAGATAAAACCGACAGAAAATATATTAATAATTAAAAAAAATATATGACTCATTACAAACAGAACATTGCCACTGTTCTTATTGATCAAAGACAAAAATCATCCAAAAAGCACAAATTGAATATCCATTGCTCCGTGAAACGAAAATTCCAGTCAAGTTCACACCATACAACATAGTTCAAATTCTGCAACAAATTTGGGAAAGAAAGAATGACAATCCGGAAAGTTTAAATCTAATTCTTTTCAACAAGTAATAACTTCCTTAAATGCCAAAGATTGTTGCCTAATTGGGAACTTTCTTGGTCTCTCTCAGAATCCCCTCTCTCTATCTTAATAGAAAAAGTAAAAAGATATCAGCCCTTAATCTTCTGTGAGCAAACACAACGTAGCAAAATTTTCTGATAATCAAACACCAAAAAACAGAGCAAGCATCCAGATTGCGTTATCGCTTCCTAATCTATTTCAATTGCAAGAAACGTTTGGAATTGTGACAAAATTGGCCACGAAACCAAAATTAAAGCCCTCAAAATCCAATAATTTTACAGAAATTTTACACAATTGAGAGATGAAAAGCAAAAAGCCCTAACATCGGAATCAACAGATATGAGAGAAACCCAAACAAAGAAGACGCAATAAACACACAGGTATAAAGCTATAAAGCACAATTGGAATAGAAGAGAAGTAAGATAGAAAGATGCATTAAGGAAGCAGACGTACGTGAAGGAGCATAAGCGAGAGCGCAGTCGAACCAAAGCTCGGCCTTGCGCCAGTCATTTTCGCTCTCTTCCTTTATGAAGTCGAAGAAGCGCGGAGCCGAGAACTCGTACGTATCGTCGACAATCATCCCCGTCGTCGTCGGAGCCAATGTGTTGGCTTCTTGGTCTGTCATTTCCTCGTTTTCGAAAACTTGTTGTTTGGGGTTAGGGATTTCAAAGGAGGAATTGGAAAGATCTGGAAGATTAATGAAGAAATGAATAGAGAATAATGAATAAATGAAAGAGAGAGAGTGTCTAAGTGGGTGCGAGTCTGGCGGATTGGAGTATAAAACCGACAGAAACATTTTTTAAAATAAAAACTGACATAAAATTTTCATTAGTGTCGGATAACCGACAGAAAAAAAATGGAGGCAAAAATCCCCCAAAATTCCCTCCCAAAATTTTAAATTCCCCCCAAAAATTTTGTTATGATTTTAAAAAATAAAATAATAATTATTTGGTTTAATAAATAAATAAATAATATGTATTTAAATAGAATACGTTTTTTAAAATTAAATAAATAATTGTTTGGTTTAATAGATAATAACTCATGTAAAATATGCGATAAAGAAACAAAAAGATAATTGTACAATGAAAATGTCATCACACAAACTAAATATTGCCTAATCAATACTTGAAAAACATAATAAAATTTGAGCACAAATTACTTTTCCCACTTCAAAATTTAGGCAAATTTAACGGAGATATGCATTCTATGAAACTAGCTTCCATAATCTAACCGTCAAACTTGTTTGTAGATACTACAAGATCGCATACATAAAAAATCGCAAAAAAAAAAAAAAAAAAAAAAAACATTCAGAGTTTAGGTAACGGAACAAAAGTTTTTTACGGTTATAAACGAAAAATCACAATTTGATGGTTATTTTTGCTCCGGTTTTGATGATTTTTTTTACAGCTACACTCCTCGACCCTATAAGAATGCAATGAACAAATTCGATCTTCAATTGAAAATATTTACACTAGTGGATACCACAAAATCTTATTTTATACTTAATGGAAGTATAATATTAACTCTAAGTGTTTGTTTAATCTACCGTTTTGACGCGATATGCATTTTACCGAACTTTTTTCAACGATCCAGCCGTCAAACTTATTTTTACACACTCCAAGATTGCATACGTAAAAAATCGTAAAAAATAAACTTTTAGAGATTACGTAACAGAACAAAAGTTTTCGACGGTTATAAACAAAAAATCACAATTTAACGGTTTTCTCTTCTCTTGTTGGTCTTTTAGGTATACCTTTAGATGAAGTAACTTAGTACTGCAGTCCAGTGATATTCCATTTCATTTGAAAATAAGAAGTCTTCGAATCTTAAATTTAAATCTCGTAAATAACGAGTTTCATCCAATTATTTTCCCTATCATTATCGTTTGTAAAAAAAATCCAATTATTTTCCCTATCATTATCGTTTGTAAAAACATAAAAATAAAAATAAAAATAAAAACAACAACAACATCACATGATAAGGTTTTGGATTGCATGCGTGGAAGTGGGCCAGTGGCCCAATAAAACTAAAGCCACAACAGTAGTGCGAGCAAGTGACACTAGGTAAATTCCATGTGGGAAATGAGGCGTATACATTAAGAAACCAACCCTTAAATGCGGCCATGGGGGTTGGCTTTAAGAGCATCTCCACCAGTGTGGAATTGCCCTTGCAATTGAGTTGCAATTGGGTTGAATTGCCTCCCTACCCAAAAACATTTGCTCCAATTACAAAAGAGCGTGGCAATTGGTAGGAGGCCAGGTCGTATGGCAGCTGCCCTGCCAATTATTGCAATGGCCAGGTGTCCTAGACTTGCATCAGCAAACAACTGTAGATCCCCACATGATGAGACATGAGCCAACTGACTCTTTCCAATGGTCCCTTAATTTGGACCATTGGTTTTCCAACGAGAAAAAAATTGACCCTTTGTGGTCAGCTGCCACACGGAAAAATTCTGACCTTCCAACGTTATAATTTTGGAAATCCACGGTCAAGATTATTCTAACAGTCAAAATTCTAAAAAATTCCTAAAAAGTTCACACTTGATGAATGTTACAAGGTTCAAGACACTTCAAATTTAAAATTAAACACATAAAAAATCTACGACAATAATAACACGTGGAACTACATGAATAGTCGAGAATCTTAGCAAAAATCTACGATGTTAATGACACGTGGAAGATAAGACAAAGAAAACATTAAAAAATTAAAAAAAAATATTTATGAATAGTAATTGCCCTTGCCCTTAGCTCTTTCTTTGTTCAAACTGGTAAACTTGCACAAAGACAATTACTGTTTAGAGTAAAAAGTAAGGACAATTTTATTGCTCTTGCCCTCCAATTGCCATTGTCCTATACAAACCGGATGAGATGCTCTAACAAGGGTAACATGTTATGTGTCAATGCTAGGATCCTAAGCCATTGGGAACCTCCAAAGGCTCCAACTAAAGCCCCATACTTCTGCAGAAAGCAACCGACTTTTCCCTCATCCACTTGCCTGCTGGAGCCATCAACTTAGAAGATCTAGGGACATTGAAAAGTTTACTTGGATGTATATGTTTTTAAAATAGCTAAAAACACAGTATTGCTAGCTCTTTGTAAGGCTTACCCACTCTCTCACCCTATTAACGTAGATAATATCGTTTGTGCAAAAAAAAAAAAAAAAAAGCTAAAAGCACTTGTGTGGTTATATTCAAGAAGCACTTGTGTTATTATTAAAAATGACTCCAAACGAGCCAAGAATCCAACTGATTTTCTTTATACCACTCGGGAGCATGTCTAGGTGTCGGCGTACGACCCTCATCACAATGGTGAAAATTTGTTCCAACCTTACAGTTCAAGATTCTTAGCTTCAATAACCATCTTGAAATACAAGCATAAAACCAAGATAAACAAAGATCCTGAGAGAAAACCTCAACCTGGAGGCATGCAATATATTATATTATACATAACACCACACACCGCAGCAGCAGCATCTTACCAAAATAACAAAACGGATTACAACTTTTGCTAACCTATGGTATGTACCTCCACAGTGCCGGGCGATCTCTTGAGATGAGAAGAGCCCGAGAACCCAAGTAATCGAAAGAAGGTGCGTACAAGTCATCTGGACCAACAGTTTCTCTGGCTTTATGAGTCCCATCATCACTGGTCAACAATGGAACTCCGTCATCCTTCAATGCATCAAATACAAACAGCCCCAATCCACAAACACCCATTACGAGGTTGGAATTCCCCCAAACTTGCGTAATTGCTGTGTAATGGCTGTGAGCATTTGATTCTGGCAAAGCGTAAGTGCTGTATAGCCTTTGTTGTCGGATTGAGAATTGCTGAACCTGTGAAGAGGACTGTTTTTTCCATCCCAATCTTGCACTAGGGCAGCCAAGGAAGACAGAATCTCCGCGGGAGAAGACTGATTGCACATTGACACCGAGTTTTGGTATCTTAAGACCTACACCAGTAGGATGCCGAAAGTCTATAAGGTTAATAGAATCTTGGGTACAAAACACTCCATCATTTCCTTCTGCCTCAGAAGAACTTACCCTGCAATTTAAACAATCACTTAAATTCTTAATAAAGATTCTTTTGCAAATGCTTCGAAAATGACCATAAGAAAATCTCTGCTTCAACTTATATATTCTCATGCCAGCCCTAATTTCCTACCGGATATACTATCAACAGTATAGGCAAGAAAACAAGATAAAAGAAATTAGTCGCGCATAAAAATGAGCAACACAGTGACATATTCAAGCTGCCAACATGGTTGTATAAGAAAAATGTCCATTACATCCTTACTTAAGGTCACAAACGGAATTATACAGGAATCCTTTTTGGAATGAGTCTTTCTTTAGTGAAATCTGAAAAACCCCTTTGCAGCTGTTAAGGCAAAGACCACTATAAAGAGAGGACAAGCAACAGCAAAAGGATTACAGAATGGAAAAATGGAATCGCACATAAAAACATTAGTAACGCGAGTGACATATTCAAGCAGATAATGGAGAACAAATCCATCATATAATTTGAGAGTAAATTCATCAAACACAAGCAAAACAAGTAAAATATATGAACCAGAAATAGAAAATGAAATAAGTAAAAGGCCAAAAGAAAGGTTGACATGTACCTTTGTCGAACGCCACCACCTAGTTCAGCATCAGTGTTATTCACATGAAGAGCAGAAATTTTCCGACCAGAAGAAGAAACAGATAGTAAAGCCTGAGAGTTAAGAGAGTTCACATCCCAAAGGGAAATTGTTTCAGCTTCAGCTACAACAACTTTTCCTCTATTTCTCCACTGCAAGGGACTTGAATTATCCATTGCTATAACAGGCTTCGATACATCCCATTTCATAACTTGTTCGCCATCACGGATGTCATAAATACTCACAACTCTCTGACAACTAGCAGTTGAGACAATGAGAGGTCCACAAGGTTTATACCACCATTGTCTAGGTTCTGGATCCAGAAGATCAGACAAAGCATTTCTCCCATATGAAATGTTGTTAGGTAAGGGGCCAAGCACTGTTCTTGAAGGGGCTGAACAGTCCTCAATCCGGAAAGCACGGCATAGAAATCCCATGAACAAAACCCTGAATCCATTGTATTTCCAGCAGATGCAGCCAGAACGTACTTTCCTGAGCAACCATCAGCACTGGGAGCACGGATTATCCAACAGTCTCTCCACATATTAGGTGAAACTCCACCAGGAGGCTTATACACAACCTTCTCCTGAAAAGACCATAAATCATCAATCAATAATGCAAATTTCACATCCAGCTATTACGATTTTATGTTCTCCAATTGTTCATATTTTCAAACTATACTATAAACATGCACATTTTTCACCTTGGTTTTTTGAATCTTAATATTTGGTCTAGGATAATTGAAAGAAAATCAAACTATAATTTGCAATAAAAGTAAAACCACACCAAGAATTCAAACTCAAATCGAGTAAGCCTAATTTATGCTGAATATGGATAAGATCTGAATTCCTTTGACATTTCAATTATTAAAGGGCAAAGAGCATATCAAAGGATGAATCTGACAACTGATTATAAGCATAACTACTCAATGAAGCGCAAAAAATATAGGAGAAAACTTAAATACCTCACAGTTTACAATATCATAGAAGGTGCATGAACTGTCATAATGAGCAAGAAGAACCGACTCTCCTTCAGACACAAACCACCCGCCAGTTGAGGTTTTTTGGCCTATTTGGTTCAGCTGGTAAATGCAGGTATCCTCAGTTTCCCCATCCATGATCATTTCCTGTACATTCTCCTGATCATCCAACTCATCAAGTGCTTCATCAGTTGTGAGAATGAGCTCCAAATTTAGCTTGCCAGTGACAAATTTTGAAGATTTTTCAACTTCTGCAGCAGTGACACCATCCACTTCTTGAACTTCAAAACATTTCAAATCTTCACATCCATCATCCCTTGTTGAAACTTTAGTTCGGTCCAAGGAAGCCAAGAACTCTACTGCAATTAGGTTATCATCTATAAGGCTCAATGACTTCTCTTCAACGTTTGCTTCACAACTGGTTTCAACAGCTTGGGACCCATGACTTTGAGAGCTTTCTGATGATCCTTTCAATGCCTTATGATTTTTAAGCAGCTTGTGATGAGGAAAGAGCCTAGCTTCCAAGTCTTCACTGTTCAACCCTTCTACAAAACTCTTAGCATTACTCACCGGCTCCTTCTCAACTACTTTGGCATCTCGGTCATTATGCTCAGTACTTTTCGGCAACCCAATCTTACCACTTGAATCATTGGCATGTCCCATGGCCTTCTCAATCCCGGAAATCTTTTCCTGAATATCGGAGAGTATCACCTTCGATGTATCTGTGTTATTCATATCCAGAATCTCCTTTGTCTTCTTAATATCCGAGGAAATCCTCTTAACCTTCCCTTCCAAGAAAGCGAGCTTCTCATGAAGCTTACTTGGATATTTGATACCCGAACGACTGCCACTACGCCCTTCTTCACTCAGCCTCTTTTCTTTCAAACCCTCCAAAACCTTTGCATTACTCACAGATTTTTCACCAGACTCCTTCAGTCCCAAAACAGCACCACTCCCAAATTTCACAGCCTTGTCATCAACCCTCACCAAATTTCGATCCTTTTTATCAACCCCATCTGGGTTTTTCAATTCGGAGGTAAGTTTACACTCCACCACCACTTCCCGAAACCCTAACTCCATCCCAATTCTTCTCAATTCCCACCCCTTTCACTTCTAATTCTCCAGAAGTTGCATTATTTTTCTCTAAATTCACATCAACTTCACCAATTTCTTTGATATCCCTCAAAACCTTAATCCCATTCGCCCCCACTTCACTCTTCTTCACATCCAAATCCCTAAACCCCTTTCTCTGCTTCCCACTCGCTGATCCCCTAACATTACTCAGAGCCTTCCCTGCACTCGCCACCACTCTATCGCTCTCCCCCACTGAACTCAGACCCGAACCCGGTCTGGCCCGACCCACTGAGACCCTTCGCTCCTTACCCGTATGACAAAGTACCCTTGTAAACTCAGAAGGACTAGAGCTCCTACCTCTCGGCGCCGACGGCATGGACCACCGGGCACGCGTTTCGCCACCGCCGTCTCTGGTTGCCACAGACACAGACGCCTTGTCAACGCGTGGAACGGGCCGGATCGTGGGCTTCTTGGCCGAGGTCCGGAAAGCGGCGGTCCCAGAAAGAGGGTTCTCTTTTCCGACGCTGGAGTACCTCTTGTCGGAAAAGGGTACCGGCGTGAGGGGCTTGGATGGTTTGAGAGCGGCAGCGGCTTTGGACCCTGCGACGGCGCCAGCGCCGCCGCGGTCTTTGAGGCGGGGAGCCGATGAGGCCGACATTGTGTTTTGTGAGTAAATAAATAACCGAAAATCTTAAGGTTGGAAGATGAGTTTTTTTAGAGCGACTGGGGAGATGGAGTGAATGGAGATTGAAATTAATTTCGACTGGATTTGATTTCTCTCTGCTTCGAATTTGAGCGGGAAAATGAAATTAATTTGAGATTTTCAAATTTTTGGAGGCTTCGGAAGTCTCAGGTTTCGTTTTTACGGTTTGGGCCTTGAAATTTCTATAGTAATGGGCCTTATTTTATAGCCTATATATAGATGGCTCTGTATGCGCCCATTCTCATCAGTGCACCCAAGAGCTTAACTAAAAAGCTTAATACAAAACCCACTTAGTACTATTGTCTAGTGAAGTTCTTATTCACTTGTAAGTAAAATGTTTTATATTCGATTCTCGTCAAAAGTGAATTTGAACATATTATTAGGGGAACTTTAACGAAAAGCACCCGGTACTGTTCACTTTAACGAAAAACCACATTTTTACACTAAAAAGTCAATCCTGGTACTATTCACTTTACCCTTTATTTTGTCCTTATTATTAAAACTCAAAGTTTTCAAGCTCTTTTCATTAGTTTTTCTTATTATTAGTTGCTCATTGTAAGGCTAAGCCTACCTTCCTTCCCTTGGTATAGATAATATCTTTTTTTTTTTTTTTAAAGCAAAAACCAAACCATGGTTCTCTATCCCCTCTTAAATGACCGATTTTAAAGGCTTTTTAGCCAAAATAGTATCTGAGATTTGTATAACTTCTCACTTTGGTTCTTGATATTTGAAATTAATAAAAGTGGTCCCTGAGACTGTCCACCATCAATCATTTTAGTCCTTTGATGAAAAATTATTATGTTAAGTAAATATCAAAATGACAAAATTACCCTCAATTTAATAAACACTTGGGCAAAATGATTTGACAAAATTTGAGAGTATTTTTGTCATTTTATCATTATTCAATAGAGATATTTAGAGAATGATCAAAATGATTGATGATTGACAAACTCAAGGACCAATTCTATCGATTTTAAACCTCAAGGACTAAAGTGAGGAGTTATGCAAATCTCATTGACCATTTTAGCTAAAAATCCGATTTTAAATAAACCCAACCAAAATAAAGTAAAATGAATTTGGATCATTATAATTTGCAATCATAGGGCCCAAATTTGGACATTTACAAACACGCGCGCACTTACACTAACAAACCAGTTACCACCAATGCAATCACCTTCTACTTCTTCTGATCAGTGCACCCATATAGATGGCTCCATATGCACCCATTCATCTAATCAGTGCACCCAAGAGCTTAACTAAAAAGCTTAATAAATGCCACTTAGTAATATTGTCTAGTGGTGTTCCTCTTCACTTGTAAGTGAAATGCCTTATATTCGATTCTCGGCAAAAGTGAATTTGAACCACATTATTAGTTGCCCATTGTAAGGCTAAGCCCACCTTCCTCCCTCTAGTATAGCTAATATCGTTTGTTCAAAAAAAAAAGTAAAAAAATCCAAACCATGGTTCTCTATCCCCTCCTAAACAATCGATTTTAAAGGCTTTTTAGCCAAAATAGTTCTTGAAATTTGCATAACTTCTCACTTTGGTCCTTGAGATTTGAAATCAATAGAAGGGATCCCTGAGATTGTTCACCATTAATCATTTTGGTCATTTGATGAAAAATTATGTTAAGTAAAGATCAAAATGACAAAAATACTCTCAATGTAATAAACAATAGGGCAAAATGATTTGACAAAATTTGAGGGTATTTTTGTCATTTTATTCTTATTCAATGGAGATATTTCAGAGAATGACCAAAATAATTGATGGTTGATAAAATCAAAGACCAATTCTATCGATTTCAAATCTCAAGGACCAAAGTAAGAAGTCAAATCTCAAAGACCATTTTGACTAAAAAGCCGATTTTAAATACAATTAAATCGGTTGCAATGGCGATGCCGAATCATGCTATGGCGCCGGTGATTACATGCAAAGAAATGGAGCGAGTCATTACTCAATTTTGGTGGAGGAGTCAATCGAAGTTTAGGGGATGCCATTGGGTAGCATGGGATAAATTGACTGAGAGTAAGAAGGTTTGAGGGTTGGGTTTTCGTGATCTTATGGGGTTTAATGTAGCTATGCTTTCTAAAATTAGCTGGAGCATGTTACGGATGCTGGAGTCGATGCTTAGTAGGGTGCTAAAGGATAAATATTTTCCCAACACATCTTTCTTGGAGGTAAGTGGGAAAAATAAATCGTCATGGGGTTGGAAAGGCATTCTGTGGGGGAGACAAATTTTAAATAGAGGGTTACGGTGGAGGGTGGGGAATGGGGAGTTGATTAGGGTGGCGAATCCTTGGATTCCCAAACCCCATTTGTTTAAACCTATGTTCAGGAATAAGGTTCCAAATATAAAGGTGTCCGAGTTAATGAGGGCCAATAAGCAGGGATGGCGGTTAGAGGAGTTGCGGCATTGGTGTCTCCGGACGATTTGGATTTGATTCGGACTATATCGATTAGTAGACTTGGGTGTGAGGATAAACGTATTTGGCATTATACGAAGAATGGTTTATATTCTGTAAGGTCGGGGTATCACGTTGCGATGAATATGATGAAAAATGGTGAGCTTGGAAGGAAGGGAAGTGGGATGTCGAGCACTTTTGGTACATTGGGCGGGGTTTGGCGGAGCATTTGGCCTCTTACGATCCCACATAAATTTTAGTTCTTTATTTGGAAGGCTTGTAGGAAGGCTTTAGTGGTTCAGCATAATTTGGAGTGTCAACGGATCAGTGTGGTGAATAAATGTGATTTGTGCAGAGTAAGTGATGAAACAGAGGCCCATCTCTTCTTTGATTATGACTTTAGTCGTGCTTTTTGGTTTGGGACATCTCTACAGATTAATATGGTGGCAATGAGGCTTAATGAGTTTCTAGAGGGATGGCAGCGAATCGTGCAGTGGATGGAGAAAAAGGTGGATGCCGAGGCAATTCTGCAACAGGTAGTGTGTGGACTTTGGCTTATTTGGAAATGTAGGAATGAGGTGGTTTTTAAAGGGATGCGGATTTTACCACATGTGGTTGTTGATCTATGGCAACAGCAATTGGTGGAATTTAGGGATGTCATGGGGGACACGGTGGAGGGAGGGAGGGGATGATAGAAGGTATATGATGTCTAGGGTGGGAAGGTGTCTACGATAAAGCTTTGGAGAGGGTATAAGTAGTGGGGAGGGCACGGGATTTTGAGAGGAGTAGCAGATGGGGACAGAACATAGGGAGGGTGTGGGGGGCTGGCAGAAACTGGGGTTTGGAGTGTTGAAATTAAATTGTGATGTGGCATGGAGGAGACACACGAATGAGGGAGAAGTTGGGTGGGTGCTTCGGGATTTTGCAAGGATCCCAAAGTTTACGGGTAGGGAAGGAGGGGGATGGTTTGGGAGTGCCATTATGGCAGAGACGGAAGTAGTACATCAGGGATTGGAGGCAGTGGTGGGAAGTGGTATGGGAAGTAGTTTTAGGTTGATGGTTAAATCAAATTCCAAGGGCTTGATTCAGATGATCAACAAGGAGGTTACGGTTGATGTGATTCTCGAGATTTATCTCCAAGATATTTGGAGAATGGCAAGTTTATTTCAATCGGTAAGGTTTTGCTTTACCCCTCGTCATTGTAAACGTGCAGCCCATTTGATAGCAGCGTACGTAGTTAAGCATGGCGGGAGATTTGGCTGGGATGAGTTAGGACTAGAGTTTCTTTTCAATATTCTAGCAGAAGATGCACATGTAACGATTCGTATTTAAGTTTAATAAAATTTCTATCTTTTGGGAAAAAAAACCAAAATAAAGTAAAATGAATTTGGACCGTTAAAATTTGCAATGGTAGGGCCCAAATTTGGACGGTTACAAACACGCACACTTACACCAACGAACTAGTAACCACCAATGCAATCTCGTCCTGACAACCAAATAAAAAACTCCAATTGTCCCACAACCAACAAACATGTAACTCCTAAAAAAGCCAAGACCTTTGCTTTCTAGCCATGGCCATGACTTCTTCGAGCTCTCTCCCTCACTCTCTACATTCTTCGCCTTCTACTTCTTCTGCAAACTATGTTTTTCCAAGAAAACGACCCTCCCCAAAGCGCCTCCATTTTGGTTCGGCAAATCCCCGTCACACCAAAAGCTTTGCTCTGAGAGCAGCTGCGGACGAGATCTCTTTTGTCGAGCCGCCGCCGCCACCTCTGCCGTCTTCCGGAAGTAAACTTGCGCCCAACCCTGAACTCGTAGCGTCTTTGAAGCTCAAGCTATTGGTACGTCGTTCAAATTGCGAATTGTCCATTTCTGAATTAAGCTTAATTTTCTCACATTTTGCTAAATATAATTAAAGTTGCTTGCTTTTGAATTTGGGCTTATTGGGTATTTTCGTACTGATTTAAACTATTTAAAATTTGGATTTTTTGAATGCTGCTATTTTGTTATCAGTTATTTAATTATACTTTTGGAACTTTAAACTTGGTACAATTGAGGTTAGGAGTGAATGGGGCAAATCAGATTGTTTTTATATGGAAGGACCTTGCATGCTATCAAAACCTTACAAAATTTGACTTCTTTGACATTTTTCTCGATGCAAATCAAGTAGTTGGTGGACTCATTAGACTACTGTGTAAATGTAATTGGTATCTAAGTACAAATTTTGTGCAACATGTTGTTCAACGAAGAATGGGGTTCGTGAAATTTTTAATGCATCTCATGTGAAATTACTTCTATCAAATTAATGTTATGTGCATCGTTGTTTTTTTTTTCAGGCTTGTGATTTCTGATAATGTCTTTCTTACTTTTATATTTTATGGTCAAAGATTGATTTTATGATCAGAGAAAGCCAATAATCGTGTTTATGTTTAACGTTTGTGAGTAAAATATGCTAGAATGAGGATATGAAGGCTAATGCGACTGGCATAGGGTTCAACAGAAGCTCTTGAATAAGCCTTTTTAAGCCACCTTAGTTTCTAGGTTCTGTTTTTGAACTCTTCTTATAAAGTTGATTTCGCAAAAAGGTTCTTGATTTACAGATT